AAACTTTGGTTAGCCAACAAGCTATTCCCAACTGGACAATCATGTTCAACCAAAGAACTATTAGATGACTTCTGTGCAGTTGAAGAATTATGATCACTAAAAACAAGTGAATCAATTGTCACTGATTTGTAAGCTTTTATGTTTGATTGCGTCCTAAAACGAGGAATTGATATCTTTTGGCTGCTTTTACTGATCAAAATCGAGGTTTTCTTATCTCTTGAATCAAATAATGGCATTTCAAGCAATTTATCTACAGTAGGACGATTACTCTGGTCTTTTATTGTCATTTTCTTAATCAGAAACTGAATTTTTGGAGGGATTTCGTAGTGCTTAAAATCTATTTCACCTCTAGATATCAATTGCATGAGCTCATCACGGGAACTATAACGAAAAGGAAAATTACCAGTTATCATATAATAGAATGTGATGCCAAGTGCCCAAACATCAGCTTTAAATGGGCATATCTGATGACATAAAAAGAAATCTGGTGCTATATACATCAACGATCCGCATTTTTCTGTTGATTTTGAATCATCTTCAAATTGTTTTGCCATACCAAAATCTGCAACTTTGATGTGATCATATTGATCTAAAAATATATTTTCTGGCTTGATGTCTCTGTGGGCAATGTTGCGCGAATGACAAAAAGAAATTGCTTCCAAAATTTGCTTTGCATATTCTTTAAATTTTTCGTTTGAAAGCTTGCCTTTATCAAGAATGGTCCCATTTGGGCAATACTCCATCACTAGATATTGGGCATGTGCATCGCTAAAAGAGTCGTATAATCTGATAATATTCGAATGATGAAGGTTAACTAAATGGCTATACTCTTCTTCTGTTAAATGATGTTTAATTGCTCTCTTAATTGCAAAGTTTTGATTATACTTTATGCTTCGGCATAATAAAACACTGGAAAATCCCCCTTTTCCAAGATACTTAATATATTCATATCCATGCTGTAATAATGTCTCTTTAATTTCATCAAGTTGCTCCATTTATTTTCTGAACTAAAGAAATTGGCTACAGCACAATTTTATTTATAAAAGTAAATATCTTTGGATTTAATTAATTTATTTCTTCTTAAATATTATAATTATACTCATATTTTAATATTAGATATTTTTATTGAATTTATATTTAAATAAATTTTTTATTTATTAATATACTTCAAACAAAGCCTATATAAGAAATAAAATTTTTTAATTCAAAAAATAAAACTATTAAAAACTTATATTAACTTGTATCTTTTTAAAAATTCAATTAGTTACTATTATATATATCTATATTTAGTTTATATTATTGGTATAATATATATAAGTAGTAACATTATTTATTGTTACCTTAAAAATAGTAAAATATTTATCAATGATATTCTTATTTATCAGAATTTAAGTTTATATGGATATTCAATATTTTATTAAATCTCAATTTTATTTAATTATTTGAGAAATCGATCACATTTTTTTTTAGAATTTTTCAATATTTTTTTTTTTTTAATAGTTTATTTTTTTTTTTTTTTTATTAAATAGAATGAATATAAAAAGGTTTTTTTTTTAATATTACATATCATCTAAAATCAGAAAAAATGAAGAAAAAACAATAATTAAATTAAAAATTTTTGAATGAAATCAGTTATTTAAATTTTTTTTTTTTTTAAATTAAAAAAAATTTTTTTAGCACACTTTTCAAATGCATTTATCTTCTTTTTATAGCAAGAATACTATTTTTTATATTGTATTTTAAATTTAACTACATAAATAAATGTTAAATATATGATATATTTTAATTCCAATTTTTTACTAAATTTTTTTTTCATTGTAACAAGAGTCATATCAACCAAAATTTTTATCACAAAAAGTTATTAAAAAATAATCAAAAATATAATTATATCTTTTTGCAAATTCATTCAATTATGATAATAATAATATAACTATTAATAATACTTTGTAATATAAATATTAATATTGTTTATATTTGATTACATTGAGTATTATTATTGATACAAGATTATGCCAAAATATTTTTTGATAAAGCAAACATATATAATCTTTTTATTTATTCAATATTTTTAAAATCACTTATTAGATCAGTATTATAAGTTTCATAGTTATAATTCTATGGGATGAATAATATTTCATGAAAAAGTTGAAAGAGTTTCTGCATATTTTCTTTTTTTTCTCATTTCTGAATAAAATAAAGCACTCCAATTGTTTTTCCCTTGCTAATTTTGTTTATTAAGAACTTGAATTAAGTAGAATAATAATAAAAAAATTGACCTCTATCATTTCAAAATGTTACTTCTTATAATAAGAGAAAATGTGCTTATAAACCCACAAAAAGTTTAACTTTTTCTTTATTTATAAAGTCGTATAAACAAAATTGAAACAAAAAAAAATATTTTCATATGTATAAAAATATTAATTTTTAATCTTTTTATATTTTTACATAATTTTTACCGAGACTACATACCGCCTAGCGGGCGTCGAGCGAGGCGAAGCCGAGTCGAGACCCCGCGGATGGCGGTAAGTATCGGTAAAAATTATGTACCATAAAAAGATTAAAATATAATTATTTTTTTAACTATTGAAAATATTTTTTTTTGTTTCAAATTTTGTTTATGTGGACTTTTATATAAAGAAAAAGTTAAACTTTTTGTGGGTTTATAAGCACATTTTCTCTTACAATACAAAATGTTACTTCTTAAATTCAAAAAAAAAAAAAAAAAAAAAAAAAAAACGTTTTAATAGAAAATGAGCAAAAAAATTTTCACAATATAAAAAGCATCATATGCTATTTGACTTATTACCTATTTAAAACATCCATCAGTTGTTTTATGAAAACAAGCAATTTATTAAACGAGATACATTATTCATTGAATTATATTTGAAAAAATCTTTTAAACAGAACTTTCCATTTTGTGAGATCACAATTAGAATCAAAATTAAAATAATAAATGAAAATATCTTGCTGTATACATTTACACAAAAATTATTATTTATAAACAATAATTATAATCCGTTAAGATGATCATCATACGGACCCACAATACCTGAAAGTCCAATTGAAAATAATGTTAAAGGATCAATCGACTCAAGCGTCTCATATTCAAATAAACAATCTGACATTTTTCGAAGAATGAAAACAGTATGGTCATCTTCATTGGCAAGAACTATATTTTTCTTTGATCGTTGAGGATTGCGATTATATTCACCTTGGAAATTCAAATAGTATTTGTTTGTTGTAAAATCAAATTTTGGTTTTTTGGGAATCCAAGTAACTTTTTTATCATTATTTGGAAAAGTTACAGAAAGAGAAAGATAGTTTGGCTTCCCTGATTCAACATATTTCAATTGAAATCTGTTTTTATTGACCAAAATATGATTTGTTTTATTGCAATCTTGATATATATGCCCAACATGATTTAATGTATATTTATTGATATGAATGTCTCTTCCTTTACCAATATAAATATCATTATCTTTTTGTTTGGCTGAATATAAAATTTCGCCATCAAATAAAATTCTATAAATTGGCAATTTTCCAAAATGATTTTCCACTACAACGTGATAAATGATTGATTTAACTTTATGATTATTCAAAGTATCTTTTGCACTATTTTTGATATTATTAATATTATTTTCTTTATGATCATTAGTGTTACTATCAAAATCTTCGAATTCTAGATCATTGAAATTTATTGTATGATGGAAGTTTTGATTTTTACTTTGAATTCTCATGAAATGACTACCATCATATTTATTTTCAGGAATATTGAAATTTGAATTTAAAACACTTTGAACAAATGAAATACCAGTATTATAAATTTTCTCTGCTTGAAACATTTTTGCAATTTTACAAATTTCTTCCATTTCGGAATCTTGGACATCAGTAGATAAACTTTGACAAAGTCTGAGAAAATTATTCATATTTCTGTTTGTAAATTCTTGTCCAATAATTTCAAGACAAATATCATTTTGTATGATTTGGTTATCAATAATATATGGAGAAATCAAGATTTTGAATTTTTGAGAAGAGTTCATCAGTAAAAAAGGATCAACCATGAAAGTTTCATAATTATACAAAACCGGAAAAGTCTGTGAAAACATTTGCTGCGAGTTTTGGAACGATGAAGTTGAAGACAATTCATTTAAAGGAATACCTGTTGAATAAGATTCAAAAGATATATTAGCATCAGATGATGCTAATAATTGTGAAGACTGCATTAATGAAGATGACCCAAAGGAATAAATTTGAGAAGAATAAAATTGATTATTGGATAAAAATTGATCATTTGGTATAACTGGTGGACTCTGCCTTTGCATCTGCTGAGATGATTGCATTATTATATAATGATATGATTTAATCTAGGAATATAGAATTTCATTTTAAAATGTCCGAATGATTCAAATTTGAATAATTTATTTTTTTTATTTTTTATTTTGAATAGTCCGATATATTTAAAAAGTCAAAACTAACACGAGCTATCGATTCAATAAATTAATCATTCTTATTTATAAAAATATTTTTATTATTTAATAATATTAAAAAACATTTAGATATGAAAACTCGATTATATAAAAAATCGGTTATTTTGGGTATACCATTCAATTTTTATATTTTTTATGATGTCCTAAAGTTTAGGACCTAAACTCAACAATTTAGAATCCAACTTAAAAAAATTCATTATGATTTAGAAAAATTATATTAATGAAAGAAATAGATACATTCACTTGCCGTTTATTTGATCCGATTTTCACAAAAAGTTTATTTTATCGGCCATTTATCTCATCTTTAGATCTTGTTGATATTATCCGCAATGAGAATAACCGTTATCTATACATCATCACCGACATGATCATTGTAGTGATTAAATGGAATGTACCAATTTTTTCTAAATTTCGAAATATACTATATTTTCATTTTTGATTATGAAGATCATATAATTTTTTTAGATTAACAAATATGAATTAAGAAACATAAAATGTAATATAAAACGTGAAGGGTCTTTAGCTCAGCGGCGAGAGCATCCAATTGAAGATCGTACATTTCCTCTGTTAGAGTCCGAGAAGTCCCATTTTTCGCTTTTTTTTTTTTTTTTTTTTTTTATATTGAATTCTTGACTAAGTCAAGTTGACTTAATGAGCCCAATTCCTTCTACATTTCTGCTTTATATCATCATTATTATTTTTTACATTAAAAAACGATTCCCTCACAAATTTTGATATAATAAGTAGAATTGAATAATTTGAAAAAGTGAAATTTTTTATTGAAGTAAAAGTTGAACTGTGGAAGGAATTCTTGATCTATCAAAAACAAACAACTCTCTTTTATCAAATCTGGGCTGATTCTTCATCCATTCAATTGCAGAAATCAACGATTTCTTTTCATCATCATTTTTCAATTCAATATTATCGACGTACAAATAAAGAGCAAAATCACTTGGATCAATAACAAGAACTCCATTTTTGGGAACACTGTCAAAATCGATTACAGAGCAAGTTGTTTTTTGATCTTTTTCGAAAAGTCTCATATGAAGCTTTTCAGTGAAGAAACTCCTTTCAAATACGAGCTCATCTCCGTAATTTTTAGGTTTAAGAATCATTATTTGATTTCCTCCCATTTGATGAACCATCTTTTGGAAATTTGGTGATTTCATATCAGTTATCCTGATGATATTTTGGCATTTCGTTTCTTTGGAAAGATCATCCAAAATCTTTTCACCAAATTGTTCAAGGCTTTTCTGTGATTCTGGGCCAACGAAAAAGTAGAGAGCTTTATCTTTTGGCATTCTAGTTGTATCGTAGATAAAAACACCACTTGGCGAAAGTTCTGAACTAACTGGCTTCAAAAATACCGCAATTGGACGTTTTCTTCCACGAATATTGATTAAACGATCAACGTAACAAAAATTAATTGGCTTGAGATATCCATTTGATATAGTATTGATAGTTTGAGTAAGTTGTCTTACCTTGTGATTATAATCATATTCTTCTTTATCTTCTTTGGTAGCATCGGATTTGAGTGGAGGTTCTGTATATTCAACGTATTTCTCCTTGAGTGTTGACGTATCGATATCTCTTTCTAAAACCTGCGAATCTTGCTCTGGTTCCGGTTCTGGTTCGGGCTGTGATCGTGTTTGGGGTGCTGCTTGTCGAGTTTGGAATGGTTCTTCATCTAGCTCTGAAACATGAATAACTAAATGAACTTTACCTGGTTGTTTGACTCCTGGTCCTGGGAAGAAATCGTACCACTGATCAATAACTTGACCAGGCTCATATTTATCAATCTCAAAATCTCTTGTTGAAACTAAATCGTTTAATGAAACTTTATCCCAATCATACAGTTCCATGTGAAGTATTGCACTTTTTCCTATTTCAAAAGGAATATGAAATTCTTCATTCCAAACTGGATTTGGGTTCTGCTTGACTACTTTTGTTTGATATTTCTCAGGTGATGGAACCAATTTGAATAGAAGAAAAGGATCTGCTGTTCCAATAACATCCATTTTTGGAATGTCCTTTGCTTCGATTGCTCGGATATGGAGGATTCGAATCATTTTAAAGCAAAAAAGAAAGTGATATGGTTTATTTAATTTATTTTATTATTTTTGAGATTAACCCAAAAAAATTGAAACATTTTTACTTCTATTTCTTTTAAAAAGTTTGGAATAAAATCACTTTTGAAAATACTCTCAATAATATCTACTATTTAAAAATTATGAATATCTTGAAAAAAAACATTTTATTAGCAAACATTATGTCTTAAATATAAAATAAGAATTGATTTAAATAAATGCTCATAAGTGCTTTTTAAAGAATTCTAAAAACAAAATAATGAAAAATTGAATTTATTCAGTATCTTGCCATGACTTTAAATATAAATGATCATTTTTAAAAAAGATGATCATGAGGTACTCAGTTAATGCTTAACACTCACTATAAATTCTTGATGATCGTCAAGAATGAATTAGAAAGTTGCCTCATGTCTTAAGATCCAAAACACTCAATTTTCATCCCAAATCGACGTTAATTACAATTCTTTAATAGACTTTGTACAAACTAAATTACATATTTAATCACCAGAAGTGTTCATCTTCCATTTGTCGCCTATACAGAAAACATTTATATATGTTTGTACTATCACTCCAAATAGCTGCTCTTCAAGACTAGTTTTTACACAAATTATTTCACTTTTGAACTTCAACTTCGCTATTTTTCAATTGCAAATCTAAATAAGAATAATTATTCGTATTTAGTAATCTGTAGTTTATTATTATCTTTAACTCGTCACTTATAGCTGTCATTATCTTCAATTATCGTCTGCAGTTCCTTATCATCTCCAATTGAAAACCTATAATCAATCATCTTCTTCAATTCGTAATCTGCATTTCGTCATCATCTTTAATTCGTCATTTGTAGTTAGCTACTATCTTCAATTTGTCATCTGTAGTTGCCATTATCTTCAATTGTCGTCAGCTTTAATTTGTTATTTGTAGTTTGTTATCATCTTCAATTCGTCATCTGTAGTCAATCATCTTCTTCAATTGCCGCCTGTAGTTCGTCATTATCTTCAACTCGTCATTTGTAGCTAGCTATAGGATCCTATGTGTCAATTGGTCAGATTATCACATATTTATTTTATCACCTAAGAATAAATAAAAGCACCATAAAATAAAATAAGTTTCGAAGACAAAATTAAAAATTTTTTTTTGAGAGCATTACGATCATTTTAAAAATAAACTCAATTAAGGGTGCAGTTTAACTATTTTTTTCTCAATCAAAATGGAATATATCATGACAATATAAGAATATATTATTTATAATATTTTTAATAATATAAATATATAATTGGTAATATGATAATATTATTTAATCCAAATAAAAATTAAAAATATTAAATTGAAAGAAAAAACAACTTTTTCTTTAATTTTTAAATTAGTTAAAAATATAAATTTCTTATTTAAAAAAATGATACAATTCATAAAAATGTTATTTTCTTTTTTTAAAAAAAAGTTATAATTTTTTTCTACAATGAATTAATAATTTTATTGATAAATAAATTGATATTGAATATTTTGCAAGAACAACCAACCCGGACAATATGCCCTGAATAATAACCCCTTAATAATAACCCCGGAACAATAACCCCGGAAAAAAAATTAAAATAAAATTAAAATTTTTTATTATAAAATCAGAATTGAAAAATTTGAATAACTATTTAACACGAAATAAATAAAAATATTCTAATAAAAAACAGTTACTAATTTATGAAAATTTGATAAATATATTTCTGTACAATTTTTTCATTTAGTTTGTTAAATAATTAAGAAACTTTATCCTTAAAACGAAGATAAATAACATTTGGCCGTTTTCTTTTTTAAAAAATAGCACCATTTTTTAAAAAGTTTCCTTTTTCTATATATGGAAATCAAAAAATACAGATTTGAAGAGATCAAATATACTTTAGACTCCAATGTGATTTTAAAATGAAAAATACAGACGTTTTTGGTTCAATGATATCTATTTCAAAATCTTGATTTCAAATGCAAACTTAGTTTACCAATGATATTTTATTATTTAATTACTCCTTGGCTATATCCATGGCAATTTTTAACTAAAGCTACTGATAAAAAATTATGTTTTTGAGTAAAAATTTCATTGAAAAAGTTTACTTTTTTGGACTGCAAAATGCAGTTTTTCAGTTTTTTTCTCTTTTTTGTTCATTGAAACTAATACACTTGTGTGAACAACATCTTTCCAAAACTAAAAAAAAAAATACTGAGGTATAATATGACAACGTGACACTTATAATATTCAGATCGATTTTATGTGAATTCAAAAAATTCCAGAAATCGTTCTATCAAGTTATAGATATCTATATATATATTCAGAAAAAAATAATGAAATAGATCTTGGATTATAATTGAACGACTACATAGATCTGAAAAGTATATGATTTTTCGAGCATTTTAAAAAAATATGTACACATTAGATTTTTAACAATGAGCTGCAATTATCTTTCTATAGTTATTATATGAGTTGTTTAAAAATCTGATAGAACAATTTTTTGAAAAAATAATAAAAATATTATAGTTGTCTAATATCATTTTTGATCATTTTTATCTAAAAAAGATAAAAATGATTTTTTCAATCTGTAATTTATTTAGATTAATTTTGATAGCATATATACATATTTAAACATATATATATATTTGTGCAATTCAAAAATTCCCTTAAAATCATTTTTATTTTTTCAGAATTATTAAAGCGAAAAATCATTAATTTGTTTTTTTAATTTTATATTGGAAAATAAATTATTATGATCTTTATATATTATATAAAATTATTATTTTTAAGTTAATTCTCATAAATTAAAGAGAAATATCAATTATTTTCCAATTTAATTGAATTTTTTTTTCAATAAATTTGAATTTTATTTCATTGAAAAATCTAATATTAATTCAATTTTTAATTTATTATTATTTCAATTATAATTAATTATTTCATACTTTTAGTAATGTATAATAAATAAATATACTTTTATAAATAAAATCATATAAATAGAAAAAATGATGATCTAATATTCGGTAAGAAAAATGTGTTCAAACTGCACCCTTAAAGGTCGTACAACTAAATTGAATATAAAATAAAATTAAATAAATTTATATTTATCTTAATGAATAATTTAATTAATGATTATATTATATAATTTATATATTTTGTATCATATATTATAAAATGTAATGGTTGAAATAAAGACTTTAATTAAAATTCAATATATATCGATTTCTTAAATTTTTGTATCATTTAAAAAATATAGATGTCATTTGAATGGGTATACTATGTGTTATACAAATAATATTTTGCTTTTTGACGAAATCCTTCAGTAATTGAAATATTAGACTTTTTATATTTATGAAACCAATCAACTAAATCTGCATTTTTAGAAAAAACTGACATTTGATTTGGGATGAAATTCAAATATATTAGAAAGTAAATGCATATAAATAAAATTGTATTCTTCATTGGGCTCCTGTAACGTCCAATTTTTTTAAAATCATCATTTAATAATTCA